ATGCACTCATTGCAATGAAGGCACGGGAGATTCGATGAATCATTTCTGGAGTGCTGAGGAAGACATTGCTCTCCACCACAATGGTCAGGCAATCCATTTAATTACTGGGTAGGATCTTATTGCATGCACAGTGCACGCTCATCTCCACTCATGCTCCTCCTTGTCCAATCCCAATAGTGCAAGTCCGACGTGATATTACATAGTGGAGTGTAATTATTAAAATGGCAACGTGTCAATTTTCCCGATGGAAAGTGCCAGGAGACAATTCGTTGGTTAAACAGATTTCATTTCCTACCGCATCTCGTTTTGCTGAGCTCGGCTTTTAAGAGAACTAATCCTGAGGCATTCTCAAACTGACTGACACCCTGCTCATTAAATCTGCTTGTGGATTTTGCTATTTACTTGGGTTTTTATGTCTTTATTTTGCAAAACTTATTCCAAATGACATACCAGACTCAAAAAAGTGTACAAAGAAAACATACTGTACAATGGTTATGTTAAGACAGAGGATTTTACTTTGAAATCTCATTTCCTCTTTGTCATTTTAAATGAGGTATGACCAATCATGGCTCAGCTTCAGAAAACAGGTAAGCCGTGATTGGTTGTTGCCTGAGCCCTGAACAACTGTGAGGTCATCTTCAGTCAACAGCAAGTGGCAAAATGGCCGCCCCCTAAGATGGACAAAAATAGGTGGATTCCACTGCTGAACTCAGATTCCACAAACACAATATTTAATCAGAATGCCGTGTTGAGGCTAATGGGGCTGCATAAAACACATTCTTGTAAAAAAAGTTTTGGGTTGAGTTCCCCTTTAAGAACAACTATTCAAAAGCAATTTTATGTCTCTGGGTGATAAGAGTTAATCCCCCTGGATGTCTTTCGCATAAATTCCTTTGACTCATAAAATAAAAAGAAGGAGTGTATTTTGAGGTGAGGTGAGGGTTAGGCTTCACAAGCTGCCCTGCCTCTGGCTGTTTGGTCTGGCAATGGCATGTCTGACTTTTTTCTGGACCGGAGATAAGGAGTGAACCACCCACAGTGTGTGGGTGGATTCTGGCACCCGACAGTTGAACAGACGGTATTTTCATCATCTTAACGGCTGCGATAACCTTCAGACAAATTCCTGGCTTATATCCCTGTTTTAGAAGTATTTTTATGTTTGCAAATGATTCAGTTGAAATTTTGAGAACTGTACTTGATTCATTCATTGTCTGTTTCCTGTTCATCTTTACATCGAGCGCCGCCATTGAATGGTCGCTGTCTTCAAAATGAACCACCGCAGTTTCACCATCAACATGTGTTTGAGTGCTCTATAATGAAGAACTCTCTATGATTTATGTCCCTCTCTTGAGTGTGCTACATAGCTCGCAACTCACTGGAATGTCAATCGTCTCATTACAGTCAGATCAGTTATGTGATGCTCCCATCACAGAGGGAGAATCAATCATGCTAAGTTGATAGATGTTTGTCTGCTTCCTAACAGCAGTACTGATGAGCGTTAATTAGTACCCAGAGACTGCCAATAATTCAGCTTGTTGTTAGTCGTAGGTGATGTATACTGAATGGCTAACGAAATACCCTGCTTACCACTTTGAGTGCAGGTACTTTAGTTGATGACACATTTTTCTTTGGGCAGATCTTTTTGAATCCACTTGCTTTTTCAAACCTTCATCATCCTTCAAAAGGGTATAAAGTGTGACATGTGTACGAGTCAAACAAGTCCAAGTGTGTAGTGTGTGAAGTGAGGAAAAAAAAATTGAAACCATGTTTAACCTTTTCAGGGACAGAGGTTACTACAGTGGACAGCTTATTGTGTTATCAGGTTACAGGATGCATGAAAGGGTTAGTATTGTAATTGCGCTGTACAGTCATGAGGAATTGTACTGCGTTAAACTGAGATCTGGGCCTAATATTTGTTTTCTTAAATTGTGAACATGTACATAATGAAGTTTCCCGCCGCCAACAACGTTTGTAAATGCTACTCCAAGGCCACCCAAATATGTTCAGCTTTCACATGGGACATTTTGCATGTACGGCACAATACATTGTGGATGCGTAAAATATAGAGCACTGAGTATTGTGGCTTTTTGACATTTTGCAGCAATTCCACCTCCATAGCATTTCTACTCACTGCTGGATCATGATGACTTTCTAAAACCTTTTTGGGACTCACTGTAACAATACCTTTCAGGTGGTTTTCGTAATTCACGAAATTCAAAGTAGATACTAAATGATATGGGTATTATAATCACATGTACCGTTGAATAAGGGCTTTAAAATGTTGTTCGGACTTCTTCATTTTCTGTAACAGAACAGTTCTAAAAATTATAATCCATCAAATGTAAAGCCAAAAAGAAGAGAAAAGAAATGACATTTCAAAAATGCCCAGTATAATGTGCTCAAGCGTGATGGAGAGTCTCTCTTTCCCCGTCTGTTGACACCTATGCTCCAATAGGAAGTCCTTTCACCTCATCATCATTGCAAGATAATGGACCTATATTGAGAAAGCAATAAACATGCTTATCTCTCGTGGAGATTGTAGACCATGATTGGAGTGAATTAGTTACGTGCGTCATGTCTTTGGAACATTTGAGATAGATTGTGTAGCCATGGGGATGAATAGGCATGAGCTGGCCCGTGTACTGCAGTTTTAGGCAGGCCTGATAAGGCTGACACATACACACTCTTTATTCGCACTACTGTTGTGAAGAAGTACTTGCTTTAAATCATCATATGTGTCTATAGTGGACATGGCATGCGCAATGGTTTTGACATCAATAGCAAATCTGCTGTTAAGCATCTTCCTCTTTTCAAAAAAGTTGAAAAAAAATTGATATATTTATATTTCCCCATTTGTCCAATATGTGCGGTTTTCTTTAGGGTTGCACTCACTTGAGGGAGGTATATTGTCTTTTGTAGCCAATTTTAGTTGCTGAAGGCATCCTAGTTTAGGATATGGTCAAGAGTCACTGTTGATGTCTGAAGTGGATGCTTCTTATCCTGTTTTTCATCACACCAAAACTTTCTTTGTTACTATCACTGTCATGTTTTTTTTTTTGTTTGTTTTTTTTGTTGTTTTTGTCTTTTGTTTTGTCACATGGTGTTTTTTGTTACGTTGTGTGGACCCGACTGATGTGGATCGTTTTCAGCGTTTTTTTTTTTGTTTTTTTTTGGGCCACGGCATTCATCAAAGGGGAAGAATCTGTGCTTGGTGGATGCGCCTTCTCGGCAGCAACCAGCACTGATTTTGATTGGGAGGAATGTCGGCGCCATTTGACTGTCGGTGCTGGACAGCCCCTGGGCTTGTGTTTTTTGCGCCTGGAGTGGGCAGCATTTTTCACAGCCCCGTTTTGTTCACCGGAGATGACAGCGCTGCTGGACAGTCTGCGTTGGTGCGGCTGGATGGATCGTTTGTGGGGCTGAGGATGAGGAGAGAGGAGTGTCGGTGTGGAGCGCGGATGCGTATTTGGAACTGAGAGTTGCCGCTTGGAATTGAAGTGGATCTACATGGGACAGGAGAAGTGAACCAATCTCTTTTTTTCATAAATGGATGCTACAGCTTCTTGTTTACTTTCAAACTTAGCTTGTAGCCGACGTATGCACATATTGAGCATGACGTCTCTGATCCACTGGTGAAAGGACACTTGGATTCTGTCCTCTTTCATTTAGAAGTGCTTCAAAAAAAAGCACATGAGGGAAAAGCGGTTAAGATTGCACGACTGTCCGTGTTTTTTATGTTATGTGCTGTGTTTATTATTTTACTTTATGTTAACTGTTTTGTAAAGCGCTTTGTTACAGCTGCAGCTGTTGTGAAAGCGCGATATAAATCAGGATGTACTGTATTGTATTGTATTGTAAAATAGAGGCACCATAACGAAACAATATTTGTCACTAATATAAGTAGGTTTTGTTTCTATTGTACATTTCCACTTTTGAATGCCATAGTTGTGCCCTGCGACTGACTGGCGATCAGTGCAGAGTGAAGTCGGCCTTCTGCCCGAAGTCAGCTGGGATTGCCTCAAGCACCCCCGCGTGACTGACTACAGGATGAGCAGTGTTGAAAATGAATACATTAATGAATGACTTACATAGTGCTAATGCAATATACAAACATGATGATGTATGTTGTTTGAAGGTTATTGCTTGGGTAGGAAAGTTAACTTTCTATTTAAACATTACACTAGGAATTTTACCTGTGACCTTCCACTACAAGGATAACCACTCTACCACATGAGCAAAGTTTTTTTTAATGTTATTTTAATGAGACTAATAGATGACTTTATAGATTAAAATGCTAATTTCCACAAGGCTAACCCTTGCCCCTTGATGTGCATTCATTGTGTGAGCAATAAAAATACAGTGTGTGTGTGTGTGTGTGTGTGTGTGTGTGTGTGTGTGTTGGTGTGTGTGTGTGTGTGTGTGTGGGGCGGGGGGGGGGGTTACTGACAGCCATAATGTTAATAGTAGGGCAGTTATAGATACTGCTTTTACCTCCTAACCCCAAATTAGCTAAAGGATACTTACATTTACTGAAGCTAAAGTACTTCTGAAATTACATCTTATCTTTGTAATTGGGTTCATTTGCTGTAGGCGAGGTTTGTTGTGGTGAGGCGCATCCGATATCTTCAGCTTTGAAAACCAGCGGGATCTCATTAGGGAGAGGGAGTAGCCAGAGGATGTTTCTGATCTTTTCTTTTTTTTTTACATTTATATATGAATTTAAAATTGTATGTATTTGCTTTTCACAAGAGTTTTGGAAATAATACCCGTGATGCAGTCGTTTGATGATCTCATGTCTTCTGTCCTTGCTTTGATTAAAACAGCTTCTCCCTGATCAAATCAAAGTGTATTTTGTCCTCACTTTTACAGAGTGCTCAGTGAATTTCTTGTCTTTTTATGTGTGTTGTGTGTATAACAAACTCTACATGTTCAGCCTAACCTGCTTTGATTTCTAAAAGTCCCAGTTAAATGAATTCTAATGTGATGTGCTCTTTTTTTAGGCTGTATGCTGTGTTTTGGTCAGTCAGCCTTTTTTCGCTTCAACCACCCTGAAGAAGCCTTGAGGATGAAGAGCATGATGCCCCCAGGAGGCACCGTCTCCACAGGGGACTACAGACCATGTGCAGGTATCATTTGCCACTCACAAATTGCTCTCCGCGACCATGACTGAATGGACGTTTTGACGATTAACTGGCAGTATGTGTAGGCGTACAGCATTGAGCAAGGAAGAACTCATTAAACTTGGGTAAGGATGTGGACAGTTTTCCTCCATAATAGGGGTGTTCGCACGGCAACTTTTATTGCGGTGTAGCACCGAGGCTGCCCCCGTAGAGCGTTCACACGTACAAAGTTAGACCGGTGTAGCCCCTGAAAACAGCTTAAACCGGAGCAAATTTAACCCTACTCAGGAGGTGGTTTAAAAATGTACTCCGGAATAAATGCTAGTTTGTGAGGCAGCACCGATATAAAATGGAACATTTGAACACTACAGGGGTAGACTCGCCACGCATGAGAAGAGTAGATTACATATAGGTATTGAATGCGTTGCTTTCCTTCTCTGTTGTACTTCCGTTATCTTTCCTTTCTCTCTTCTCTCATCCTTTTACGGCGTCTGATAGACCACAGCGTTGATTTGTCCGGAGAAGTATAAACCATGGTTTTTCGATATGTCACAAACAAGGCGGGGAAAAGGGAGTACACGTTACGAATGTGCATGTTTTATTTCCGTTTTATTATCGTATTGCACGGCCGCAGAAACTGCTGTGTGAACGCAAGTGAACACGCTTCTCTTTAGTAAGCAGCTTTTTATGTGTGAACGCTCCACAAAATTTACACCGGTGTAAGATATATTGCAACAAAATACATCGGTGCATCACCGATGCAAATGTGTGCCATGTGAACACCCCTATTATTACGTCGCAGCACAGTACCGTCATGTTTATCAGGTATATCTCAGTTCAGTTCCTGCTATGTTGTCAATATGTATACACTGTCCAGGGTGTACAAGAGTGATGAGCTATATCGAAAATGGATAGGACTACAACTTAACATCATGTCTTCCTTCCATTTTTGCAGTGGACTATAAACACATTGGTCCTCTGTTCCATCAATAACAGGGCCTCAAAGAGTCTTTCACTCCTGAACATTCACGCAATTTAGCTTTGGTTTGTGTAGTTGAATATTGTTTTTTTTCTCACCTAGGTAAACTGAATAGCCTCTTTTTGAATATAAGCCAGTTTGTTGCAAAGACCAACAGTGGAGGAGGATGGTCATTAAAAAGTTTACAGGTGACTGTTTTTCTAGCAGTAAACCTCCACCCTGTTTGCTTTTTAATAGACTGGCTGTTGGTTACACAGCAGCACGAGCTAGGTCTGCTGCTCAGGCTAACAATAATGGGGTTGTTTTTTTGTCTCTCATTTTAGTTTCCCACTTTGTATTGAGCCTTTGTAATTGGAACTTCACAAAGAGCGCCTGTAGAGAACGCCTATAAAATTTAAACGTAGTCCCTTTCATTATTGTGGTGAAACATTTCAAAATGCTTTCAGTAGTGGCTGCCTGCAGTTTTGTTGCTGCTTGTTAATGTTGTCCTTTTAAATGCAGTAGCTGTCAAACTCTGACGCTAGAAAGGCGCTCAGGAGCGCCTGATGCCAGAGGTTACACTAGGCCTCTTTTATGTGCATCTCATTCCTCTGCGTCTCCAGGCAAACTTTTCAGCTACTTGTGCGTTTGCATTTACAGCGCTCCAGCTGGAAACCACGTCACTTGAACCTTATCTTTTCTCAGCTACCTCAGCTATCAGGGCCTCGTCTCAGCCTCTTGTTATTTCCCCTCATTTGACAGTGGCTGCCACTGTGGAGTAAGTAGAGCACCCAAGCAGGCTGCTTGGTGTGGACTTCCTGATCCGGTAATGAAAGCCTTCCGTTGTTTAGACAGGCACCATTTTCCTTAATTATACATTCCTAGGTTGCAGTGAGATGAAGACATAGCGTACCACTCCCATGATAATCCTAGCATATCTTCTGTCTGTTTATAAATAAATGACAGAAATTACACCATCTGTTTATGAACACGTGGGCCACAACTATTAGAGTAGGGCAAGCCCAGAAAACTATATTATCTTGACTATTATCAGACGGTAGACTTGGGGAATGAATACATGGGTAGTGTAATGGTAATGGGTGCTGGTGGTACATTTGGATGACTTTTGTTTGGAGGATCCGGATTAATTCCTGAACTATTGTGATTAATTTGAACTGCCCCTTTTTAAATCAAAGAATTACTTGAGTACAATAAATATGAATGAAAATGTGTCACGTTACCTAGATGTTTAGCAGTACCTATAGGTTGTGTTAAAAAAAGGTGTACTTTCATTCCAAGATGGTATGTAATGTGTAATGTTACAAATTTCTAAAAGCTCAAAGCGAGGAACAAGGAAATGGCTGTAAATAATACAATACAATATGTGGTGTTCGATCATGTGTATATGGATGAGTGTGGGCTTTGTTTCATGTGGAACAAGAATGCTTCAAGTAACATTTCAGAATAGTTACCATTGAACCAATTCTCAACTATGGTTTCTCTATCCGAACAATGGATGGCACCCACTTAAGACGTACATGACTTGAAGAAAAAGAAGAAATTTGATGTGATGTCCAGACAGTGACCCCCTCCAATTGTGCGGCAATCAACTGATGATGCTAATGCAAGCTGCTTGTGCCGACCTTCTCATTGAAGCGAAAGGCAATGCGTGTGCATTGAAAATAAGCCCTAGTTTTCTCAATTCTGCCAAAATTGTCATTTTATTTCAATGCCCAAATTTCCATCCATCCATCCATTTTCCGATCCACTTATCCTCACAAGGGTCGCGGGGTGTGCTGGAGCCTATCCCAGCCATCTTCTGGCAGTAGGCGGGGGACACTCTGAACCGGTTGCCAGCCAACGCAGGGCACACAGAGACAAACAACCATCCACGCTCACACTCACACCTAGGGACAATTTAGAATGTTCAATCAGCCTGCTATGCATTTTTTTGGGAGGAAACCGGAGTACCCGAAGAAAACCCACGCAGACATGGGGAGAACATGCAAATACAGGGAGGCCGGAGCTGGAATTGAACCCGGTACCACTGCACTGTGAGGTCGATGCGCTAACCACTGGCCCACCGGGCTGCCCAAAACTTGCGCTATCAATATAGAACATACATCCTTGATCCTTAGGGTTTTTTGTGAAGTTATTAGGGCGTTAATTCTTGTCATATATGTTTTTAGGCTAACATCAGTTTAACGTGTCTCTTGTTTAATGCGCACATTTGTGTCACACTTTTTAGTTTTATTTTTTTTAACAAACCGTGACATTAGGTTACTTTGTGTAAAATATTGACAACCAGCTAAATTGCTCAATGCTATTTGTTCAGATTTGAGGATTGCCGGTGAAAGTTAAGTGTCTACAGATGTAACAGCATATTGCATTACTTACAGTCATGTTATTTATAAGGTGTAAAGTCATGATGTTAATTTCTCTGTATTAGAATATGACATCATTGTAAATTGTTTGCATTTGCTGCAAAAATGGTTAGCGTACACAATGAATAACAACAATTGGCTAGTTTGGGTGATTGATCCACGATTAAACGCTTTGATCGGCAATCATGCACTTTTCCATGAAAATTGGCACGTGGCCGATGGATCGGAGCACACTTGGTTTGGACTTGCACTGTCCATATCATGAAACCAAGACATTTTCCAAGCTGTCGACTAACTTCAACAACGTGACTTGAAAGTGTCTGACTTTTTCCAAACAGTTCCCCTCAAATCAATTTCTCAGATGGGTTGGTGCAAGAAACTATTTTGTGAAATGCAGTAAAGAAGTAGCCAGTGTCTGTTCAGGATTGCGATCAGGCTTTCTTTGTTGTTCCAGACAAGACTCTCCTATAGCCTGAAGGAAAGTATTTTGTCACTGGAAAATTGTTCTTTGAAAATACAACTTTCCTGTGTATGCAGACGTTTTCACATATTTTTGGGCTGAGTGTTTCATAAACTGGGAAAACAGGAAACTGGCTGTGGTCTTCACTTTTGTTAAAAAGAAACAACAATTACAATTCAGCAGACATAGTCATGGTCATTCCAGGCCTCCTTTGGTTAAAAAAAAAAAAAAAAGAGTGTTCCTTTTGCACTATGTGCATTTGTAAGGGCATTTTTTTTTCCTCTTCAGTGAGAGAATCTAATCCAATTGTTAGATTGCACGCCATAACAGTATGATAAATGATGCGCTACTCAGTGAACTGCATGTGAATTTCTTCCAGTACATAAGATTAAACGTCACCCCATTAGTTTGCTGCACTAATACACTCAGTAGCTCTGTAATTATAGAAACACTTAACTTGTTTTGATTGGCAAAGCTCTGCCAAGTCACCTTTCTTCAGCCCATGAGCTGCAGGAGCTTTGCCATTCTTAATTGACATTTCCTGTTCCCCAGTGTCAGGCCAGCAGGTGGCTTTATGGCTATGTACTTATGATCTAGGCTGGGGTTACCATATCTTTTTACAAAATCTATTTTTAACCTCCACTTCCATACTGCTGTCTGCCATCTAGCCTGCCCACTTACTTTGTTTATCATTTTTAGTTTCCTCACTTTTTAATAAACCACTCTTTGATAAATCACTCTTTCGAATTTTTTTGTTTTGATTTTGTTTTATTGCATGGCTGGATTTCATGGTGTGATCGCACATCTGTCTTGACAGCCAAGAGACCCGGGTTCAAATGTCTGTATGTTTTCTCCGTGCTTGTTCGGGTTTTCTCTGAGTACTTCTGTTTACTCCCACATCCCGATTTACATGCCTCCTGCATCTTCAATGAAGTCAGCAGGCATAAACTCCAATAACCTATGACCCTAATGAGGACAAGCGGTATTGAAAATGGGTGGCTGGATGATGTCGCTGCCGCAACTCTTGCTGGTTTCAAAGCGAAGTTCTTTGAGACAGTTGTGGTTTGATTTTTAGCATGCCACATTGTTTGTCCGCTGCAAATGGATTTTTCAGAAGAGAATAAACATAACTGCCTGTCAATAAAATTGAAATGGATATAAATATTTTTCTCATAAAAAAAAAAAAAAATCCATCCTTGTATCCCCATTTAATTTTATATTCCACCATATTGGATCAGTAAGGTCTTGGCCCTCCTACTTTGCAGCTCAGGCACATGCCATAGCACACAGTGCAATTCTTGTCAGCTTCCTTTTCCTAATGTGGTTGATTTTGTGTAACTGACTCAAAAAGAAATGTAAAACTATAAGTATAATACTGTAACCTTTATTCAGTTGTCATCTTTCTATAATTCACACCCCAAGAAGATGTCTAATATGGACAAAAATAGCACTGTATTGTCCAGTAGTTCTTGACTTACAACAGTAATGACATTTTGACATGTTTTGAAGTTCCAAACAGCACACAATGAAAAAGTAAGAATACATAAATTACGTGGCACAAGAAAGCATGCTGAGTTACTACCACATTTACTGTTGGCCTACATGAAAAACACATACAGAAGTGTATTTAATATTTTTTTTAATTATGACTTTCATACTACATGACCATATGTCCAGTGACTACGGTTCTGACTTAAGTACAATTTCGGGTTAAAACAGAACTGTTGTAAACCAAGGACCCTCTGTTCCTGTAAATGGGCGGGGATATATGTTTCTTTTCATTATATTTAAGGACAAATAGAAATATGATTGTGGTTAAACTGAAGACTATTTCAGTGGCCTTAAATCCAGGAACGGAGGAATGACAAAGATCGGATCAATAACTGTCAAACACAATACTGTACAATAAAACAGACTGCATAACGTGTACTGTAAAACACACGTCTTCATAGGCGGAAACGATGAATGTGAACCTTCAACATAAAAGAACGACGTGAGCGCATTGATATTGCAATTCCGTGAAATTTTGATCGTGCGTAACACCACAGCCATTACATAGTTTTTACGTTACCTGCTGAGACGGTGGAAAATTCCACAGTCTATTTTCTTCGTGGAGACGAGATTCAATGAAGTTTATGGGCGCGTGTTTAGAGCGGAAAATGACTTCACTCTGGTAACTTGATAAACAGTGGCGCCACAACCACCGTCGGTGCCTCGCAGCACCCTCGATCCTTAAAAGAAAAAAAACGGCACAGTACATTGTAGCGGTCCTCGGTGTGCGTCTCCTCCGGGCTGAGTCACAGCTGGTCTGCCACTGGTGCCCGGAGGATGAACCCCACAGTTTGTCATAGAGCAAGTGGACGGCGCAAAAGACTGACCGGGTTTAATTCAGTCACGTGAGTAGCATTCTCCCGAAAAAAGACACCACTTCAGCCGCTTTTGTATTTGCGTTTTTTTCCTACCGCAAAACTGATGGCGAAATTTGGGGATCTTCACGTTCACATTCAGTAAACCTAGCAATCATAGTGTGAGTAGAGTGCGGGCATATCGGTAAGTGAGCGACGGTGAGATTTCCTAATGAAGTTCGGAATGCTGCCCTTCAGCTCCCAAAACCATGACATCACTTGACGGGCTTTCCCCTGGCTCAGGGCTGCTTTTATTTTGTCCCCCTCCCGACCCTCTATTTTTCTGCTTCTGCACCCCTTGCTGTGTGCTAACGACGACGTGACACTACGTCCATGCAGGAGTCAGTGTATAAATGTGTTATTGTAACACCTTGCAAGCATAATCACATATAAACACTGTAATACAACCTTCTCCTATTCAATTGCGATGCTTGTCATTGAGCGTCAGTGTAAAGCTGAGCAACAACAGTAGCATACAGGAAGCTACTCCCATCCCTGCGGTGCCAGAGCAAGCTAATGCATTATTTGGGGTGCTTCTATATTCATGGAACAGTATTTCTGAGATAGTGTATACCGAATACAATCGTGGACAGAAATGCATAATGTTTTCTGAAGGAACCAGGAATTTCAAATAACCTTAGAAAGTTGTAGAATCAGCATTGCTGAGGCAAATCCAAAGCTTCAAACTTACAGTCAGGCCCTCACCAACGTGTCACCCAAGGCAAGATTCTATATGGCGCCCCCACCCTTCATTGACGATTTACATACTATTACAATCCATCCATCCTTCCAACCATTTTTTTAATCTGCTTATCCTCACAAGGGTTGCGGGCGTGCTGGAGCCTATCCCAGCTGTCTTCGGGCAGTAGGCGGGGTACACCCTGAACTGGCTGCCAGCCAATCGCGGGGCACACATAGACGAACAACATCCACGCTTACGCTCCCACTCACACTCACACCTCCGGACAATTTAAAGCTTTCCATTAGCTTGCCACGCATGTTTTTGGGAATGTGGGAGGAAACCAGAGTACCTGGAGAAAACCCCCACAGGTACGGGTGAACATGCAACCTCCACACAGGAAGCCCGGAGGCAGAATCGAACCCTGCACCTCTGCACTGTGCTAATCAGTTGACCACCATCATGTCACATGGTTTCAAATATAACACATAAAACTTTCTTAATTCCATGGCAGTTTTGAAGGTAGATTTCATGTGTCTTTTCCATACTTGACCAATAAATATGATTCTGATTCTGTCAAACAAAGTATGCAAGTGACTTGCTGTTGCACATATCTTTCTCCCATTTTCCCTTCTCTATTTTTCTTCCTTGTGCTCTGGATAGTTTTGGTCAATTTGACATGTTTACCCAGTCTTCTGGGGTCATTTCAATAAATTTGCTGCCCTCCCAGCACAGAGAGCGATCAGTATACCATTAAGGCAAAAGAGGGAGTATTTAGTACACTGAAGAAAATAATCTGTTGTATTTCACGGATAAAATTACATTTTATTAGCGGAGCATGATTTTCATGCGTGCGGCCAATGTTCATAATTTTTAAAAATGTAAATCCAACAGAGGCTTTGTGTCAGTCCATTATCATTTGTAGTAATATTAATTGGGCATTATTTTAAATTTTAATTTATGTTAGCTATTTTGTATTAAGGTTTAGTTGTCAAGTTATTGTACATATGCACAGCTTTCCCACTTGAAAAAAAAACATTAACAGAAGTTTTAATCTAGATTTCACTCAAGGATCAAGCAACAGTTTTTTTTCCTTTCTTTTTTTTACTTTAACATTTAGGAGTTTGACGGTCCATCAAGATGTTTCATTCTTACATTCGTCAACGCGGTGCATTAAAGGGCATTTGAATTTGATTAAGGACTTTTAGAAAAATCTGTAAAAATAACAAGACAACATGTGTGATTGTAAATATGTGTAAATTGTAACAGAAACATCCATCCATGCATGAGCTGAACCGCTTCATCCTCACGAGGATTGTTGGAGCCTACCCCAGCTTGTTCTAACTTTTCCGTTTCACGTCAGTTGATGTATTTTGTTGTTAATGTTCTTATTGCCCATTAGTATGCAGTATTTTGAGAAAAAATATGATTATTTTAAATTTTGTTTATCAACCATGCAATCCTTTTATTTTTATATTATTAGAGGGGAGATCAACTCAAAGTGTATTAATTTTCACAGTTATATGTTCTATGCAGCCCCACTAGTCGAAACACAGTATTGTGATTAATACCACTCTAATGAAGATAAGCTATCTCGAAAATGGATGGATATATTCCTATTGCATTTTTATTACTACTTGAAATGTTGGTCTTGCTTAGGTTCTGATGGTGCAGTGGTTCACTCACCTGACTTCTGCATGCAGCTTGTGTGTTGTCTGTCTCACCATGCTGCATGTGTTCTTATTTAACTCATTAAATCCCAGCCATCTTCACTGGAGCAACCCCCTCAATCCCAGCGTTTTACTGGATTTTGACTGATCTTGCAAGGCCCACAGAATATTTGATTCTAATGCTATATAAACATGGAGCCTACCAAAATAAAGTTTGGACTCTCTTCTTTCAGCAGGAAAAAAAAGTTCTATCTTTTTCAATTCTTCAGCAATCGGCATTTCAAAATGGCTGAGTTTCATGAAAATGGCGATTCCTAGACAAAAAACGGAGAAAAAGAGCTTTTTGTAAAAGCATGCATTTCAAGCACGTGAGGCACCACTGCCACCTACTGGTCGATTTTTTACATGATTTACAATGCAAACGGCTTATTCTCATTCACAGATTGCATCAGACCCTCCTCTCTATGACGCAAAAAAAAGACTTAAGAGTACAAGTACGTCCTTGGTAGGCGGGGCCTAACTTTAAAAAGACGTACAAGTATGAAACCGGAGTACCCAGAGAAAACCCACAAAGGCATGGGAAAAACATGTAAACTCCACACATCCGGTATAATGAATACATTCAAATCTCATTTTCAACCGACTGAAGTGGCTAGTAAGAATGACGAACTTACCCACCACTGAAGAAATCATCTGCATTTGGCAGGCTGACGGGTGTTTAGTCAAGCCGTGTACATGAAACAGTCTTCTATGAGTCTGATAACCGATATCAGGTTCAACAGAATTTGTTGAATCTCATCAGGATTACGCAATAGCTGTTACGGCGTTGCATACTGAAAGTGTAATTTGTGAAAATAGAAATGTTATAATGATGTCAATGATAAAGACGTCGTCTTATTTAGATGGTGAAGCTTAATGGCATCTTTTTCCATTTTACCTGTTTTAGGCACGGAGAACCTGGTCAATGGGAATCATCAGGCCAGTCCAACGCAGTCCTCCCAAGAAACTAGTGAGAGAGTCCAATCTGAGCACAGTGCAATTGTAAGCTCTATTGAGAAGGACCTCCAGGACATCATGGACTCCTTAGTCATGGATGACCTGGAACCTTGCTCCTCTGAAGACAAAAAGCCTCCTGGGGACCAACCAGTTACTCATTCACCCCTGTTACCCATGGTCAATGGTGGGGGCAGGTATTTGCTGTCCCCTCCTACGAGTCCTGGGGCCATGTCCATGGGATCCAGCTATGACAATACATCTCCACCCTTTTCTCCTCTCTCATCCCCTTCAGCAGCCAGCAGCGGTAGCTTTACTAGTCCATCTCCTGGTGGAGCACCCCAGGACCACATTTCTTCTCTACCACCAGTGCCTGCACGCTCCTCTAGCTACAACTTCACCAGCCATTCACAACTTGTATCCCAGCCACGGGCCAACCTACCTAATTTTAATGGTGGTGGCGTAGGTCAGAAGGTACAAGAAAGCCCCAGACTGCAAAGGAAGGCCTTAGGGGAGGCTCCACTAAGCCCTAAACCTAATTGCCGAGGAGTATGCCAAGATGCGTCAGAGATTCCCAGACAGACCCCACTTTTGTCTTCGAATGAATCTCTCAGTAGCAGAACTATTGTGCCAAGTAGCCCTGGTTTCAGTCCCAAATTCCCAACGTGTCCCTCCATGTCCGCTAGTATGAGGACCAAGACAGCCACAGTGCTTCATGAAAGGCCTGCTAGCCCTTTTAAAGAGCAGACGACCTTAGCCGATCGCTCCATCAACTCAAGCCCACCCAGGCATCTTTCCCAACCTACTAAGGCCTATCAGCCGCCCCTCGATCCTGTTGTCCATATCATTCAAGGCTCACCGTGGCAGCAGCCTCCAGAAAGCCCTCGCATGCTTAGGCGAAACATAGAACTGAATGGTGAACGAGGTAATATCAGAGAACTTCCACCTCTAAGTCCTTCCATTGCTCGAAGAGGCATCCCAGTACTCCCGGGTGCACTTCCAGGAACAGTACCAAGTACAACCTTAAAGACACCTGATAGCACCACAGGTTTGGGTACGCTAGTATCAGGGAGTCCCAGGCTTCATCGTAAGACTGGAACTACAACTGCGGATTCCACTGGCAGTTGGGGAATGCGAGCCCGTAGTCCTTCACCCACATCTGTGATGATGGAGAGTGGCATAGGAATTCGAAAGGCCAGCTTTGGCAATTCGCTTTCATCTGCATACAGTCTTGGGTCGCTGCCTGGCTCATCGCCCGTTTCCAGTCCTAGAAACAACAGAAAGATATCAACAGGGCGACCAGGGATGAGGGAGAGGAAGAACAGCATCTCAGAAATCAGTGACAATGAGGATGAGCTGTTGGAATACCATCGACGACAGAGGGAGGAGCGACTTCGAGAGCAGGAAATGGAGAGACTGGTGAGTGCTGATAAGTTCTGGGAGAACCCTGCACCTGGTTCTTTGGTCTTGAATGTTCGCTATGCTAATAGTATCTACCAGAGGACTGCATATTCTCACTTGAACTATTTAGTGTGTGCCAGAAAAAATGAGTGCGCTGCTATGGAGCGTTTTCTGATAGATTTCGGAAGAAGGTCGAACCTGTCCAACATTGTGCCTCCCCTTTTCCTGCTACACACTTTTTGGAAACGTATGTAATTCTGACATACAGTATTTACCAATTTACGAATGTATGCTCTTTTATAATTATTACAACATGGTTGCCTAATTAGATGAAGTATTTGTTTTCAAGGCTGATTCTAAAATCTGTTATGTAAATCACAGTTGATAAACTGGTAGTCCTGTATTTTATTTGGACGTCATGTCTAATCTTCTTGCAAAGAAGTTTCTTGTTTGCAGGTAACATCTGTTGGGTTTACACAGAGGATGAGTCAGAACCTTAGTAATGTCTGTCACTTGGTTGTTGGCTAACCAAATTGCTGCTGACATGCAGCCTCGGGCTTCAGGGCGCCAGGATGTTCCCATAGTAACCAAATTGTTGTTTCCTAAGCTTTACAAGGGGAAGGGAGGGATGGGACACATCTTGAACTTGTCTGCTACTGATTCAAAACCCACAATTAACAACAAATAAATGTTTTTATGCGTGTGAATGTGATTGTGTATCATCTCTGATGGTATAGTGTTTCACTTGGCTGATCTTCTTGCGGGCAGTGTGGGTTCAACTCCCGCTCTGTGACAGTGTGAATGTGAGTGTGAATGGTTGTCTGTCTACATAAGGGCCCTGTAATTGACTGGCAACCACACAAAGGTGTTGTCTACCTTTCGCTTGAGGTCAGCAGCTCTGACAAAAATTGCAGGATATACAGGTTTCCACTCTCATTGATTCCACTTGCTTAAAGACACTTTTCAAACATTTTTTAGCTGTTTTTGCAAAAATCACCAACCATAAAAAAAACATTTATAAATCGCACACGAGTATAAGTCACATTTTTTGCGGAAATTTATTTGGTAAAATCCAACACTAAGAACAGAAATGTCCTCTTGAAAGGCAATTTAAAATAAAAATAACATAGAGAACAACAGGCTGAATAAGTGTATGGTTTCTCATGTTACATGATGCATAAACAACGAACTGAGAACGTGCCTGGTATATTCACATAACATATTAAGAGTTATTCAGATAACTATAGCATAAAAAACATGCAAACAAGTTTACCAAACCATCAGTGTCACTTGATGCCTTCGAGTCGATGGCATTTCCTCTTCTACGGCTCATCGTCAACTTATTAACACAGGCCTAGAGCGCCCTCTTGCTGTTTAATGTGAAAATAATGTGAAATGATATAATAATGTGTTAATAATTTCAAGCATAAGTCGCTCCAGAGTCGCACCGCGGCCAAACTATGAAAAAAATATGACTTATAGTCCGGACAATACGGTATATTCATCCTGAAGAATGCGCCAAAGGTGTTTGATCAGATTGAGTTTAAGGCTCTGTGTTTTTTTTTTTTTTCTTTTTCACACTAAACTCATAAATAGCCATCCCTTCATGGATCTTGTTTTACACACCGACACATGCGTCAAAAGTGCCATTAAGTTACCCTGGAACTCTAAAATCGAATTATTTTTATTGTCATTGCATGACCTTCGTCTGTAAAGTAGAGCAGTTAGCACTTAATAAGATTTTTTAAATTATCAATAATTATTGTGTTGTGCATTACATTTATGTTGTAAAAATATACTCTTTAATTTGAACTGACAGAAACCTCATGAGAACTTTTATTTGCAGCCCACATCAGGACTGAGAAGGTGTAAACTAGTTCCTCTGTTCTCTGGAATTTTGGAACAACAGGAATAAAATTCAGTTCACCAAAATACTTTGTAAATCCTGTGGACTGAATAAAAAATTAGTTATAGCTATGTTCAGATTTGTTCAATCACTGCACAAATGTTGAGAATATACTGTATATATGTGCAAAAAGTTAAGTGCACACGTCAAGTGTAGATGGATAACGGGACCAGCAATGGCTGCTTGAGATAAAGTATCAAGATTTCTCAGCAGCATGTTTTGTTATTGTATTGTTCGAACGCAGACACTCGCAGCTGTTTGAGAAAGCAAGCCGTGGAGCTGCAGGGCCTGTAATTAGTCACAGTCGATTCATCGTCATGAGAGATTTTCTCGCCCCAGAGCGTATGCATTTAAGTCATTTCACACAGACTCGTTACTCCCCACACAACTGATTACAAAAAACAAGTTAGACAAGTGTTTTCAGCGAGGTTTATTTCAGGAAAAAAAAGCGGTTATTGTTATTGTGAAGTCGGTGCCAGTACACAGCTCACAGGCATCAGGACTGCATGGGGGCTCTGCTAAATTGGATGCGCTGACTCAATGTATCTCAAATTGCAGTTAAGTTTTACTGAATCAACTTTTTGAAATATTAAAGAAGTCCTTAATACATTATGAAACACAAAGCCAACAATACTGTACTGAGTATGACTGGATATGAGTGGCAGCGAGGAATATAAGAGCCCCTGACGTCACGTGACTGATCATCGTGTGCATTCACACAGCCATGCTGGCAGGCTAGTAGCGGCAGCAGGCAATGGACTTACAGTGGAGAGTAGTTGTAAAATTATTCGCATTATTTTGTAGCTCTAATAACAGCACAAATATGCAGAGCAAAAATTCAGCATGTAAGAATTGCAAGTTTTCCTCCATTTCCAGATGTCGGCGGCACGGTGATCAACTGGTTAGCATGTCAGCCTCGCAGTGGAAAGGTGCAGGGTTCGATTCTGGCTCCGGCCTTCCTGTGTTCTCCCTGTGTCTGTGTGGGTTTTCTCCAGGTATTCCGGTTTCCTCCCACATTCCCAAAACATGCATGGCGGTTTAATGGAACACTTTAAATTGTCCCTAGGTATGAGTGTGAGTGTGAATGGTTGTTAGTCTATGTGTGCCCTGCGATTGGCTGGCAATCAGTTCAGGGTGTCCCCTGTCTACTGCCGGAAGACAGCTGGGATAGGCTCCAGCACGCCTGCAACCCTCGTGAGGATAAGCCGATTTGAGAATGGATGGATAGATGTAAGATGTGACAATACTCTTTAAAATGTTTAAAACCACAGTTTTAAGTGATTGAACTATTAGAAAATGGATGAAAAATATTTTCACAACTTAACAAACTCCAAGCCGAGAGCAGTATCACAGAACTAATATTTTGACCCTCTCATGTGTAATTGCATTAAAGAAAACAGAATGACAGCCTAATTCTTCAACATTTGGGGACTTATGATGGATAACAACAAAGAAAAATAGAAACGACATCAAATTGGTGTTTCCGTTTTGGACCTGTAGGTAATCTGTTTTTGCTGATACACAGTTGAGATTAAGTCCATCAGATCCAGACTGTAATGACTGACACCCTGTTGTGGCAGAGACTCTTGGCTTCCATGGCGAGTCTGCAGCACAAAGTCTCACGCTCATGTGAACTCACTCTTTGTCTGGGCACCATAAATTACCAAATATTTTCTTGTAAGGTTGACCTTTAGCCCTGTTGAGGAGGACGTATATCACTATCTTGCTCCACCACCTTGAACCAGTGTGACTCTACTCATCTCTTTGCTTACAATTCAGGTCTCCTGCTAGTTTCCCAGTCCAGTGGGACATCACAAATGATGGCGTCTATTAAGATTAGCAAATCAAAAATACTGCCACACTCTCAAACAGATCATGACATAATGCATTGCAGCCCATTCCTAAACACAACCAGATATAAGTAGATCATATTGCACATTGAACCTGCCGCCCCTGGCGGATAAATATATCTATAACCTGTGTGAAATCTCTCTCTGACGATAAATCTTGATGGTGGCGATGAGCCTTTTTCAGATATGTCTGTAGACTTTTCCTGTTGGGAAAAAAAAAGCAAATTGAGAGTTGATTTTACTTTTGTAGGCGGTATTTAACACTTATTGTACAATTTGGCAGATAAGCAACTTCTTTTTCAATACATATATACACATACTTTGTTTTTGTTTCAATCTGGTTTGAAATGGCTCCTGCAGAATTGCAGTTGACTGCGTGAGCTGCTGTTTGGAAATCTCTCCACTAGAGTGGGGTGTCTGCCTGTTCACACACATGGCATTGCAGCAGCGACCTGAAAACTAAAGAGTGACTGTTTAAAAGAATTCCTCACTGGCGAAAATGTTCAGTACTGTATATGCGTATTCAATGCATATTCTAAAATTGGTATTTTGTGACAGCACAAAGAATATTACTGGTTTCTTAAATTAGAATAATTTTATCATAATCATATTCAAAGTATTTCAGATAAAAGTGAAGCTGTAAAATAAAAATAAAAAATCTAGAATAAAAAAAGCAAAAAGAAAGCTAAAAAACAGTTTTATTATAGAACTTTAGAGGGCATCTTCTCTCTAATTCTGACTCTTGTTCGTCACAACAAATGTTTACATGATCGTGTAAAAGATCATACCAATATTGAGTTTATCTTAAATTTAATTTTAGACCAATCAACAAGACCCTTCTCACACAGGGAAGTCTCTGAAGATTTGGGTGGGAGCAAGGCTGCTCTTCATTTCTCCCAAAGTAGCACAGTGAGTTCACGAACTTAGTCTGGGAACTCTGTGGAGAGAAACTCGCAAGCAACAGTATTTTCTAGGCGACTTAGTTTTGGATTATCAGAGTCTGTCATTGGCTCGTATTGTTTTCGTAGCAGGACACGACCCACACTGAGAAAAGGCCAGAACACGAACAGGCCACGGTTAGTCTGCTCGCCCTGCCAAAACACAGGCCAGGTCTTCTTACAAACATGGCAACCCTAATAATGGTAATTTTTGATGCATTGCTCTCATGATTGTTGCAGTATGATTGAATTTAAAATAGCCCGTGGGTGGTCCTGGATATATCCTTCCTGTCATGTCTGCTTCTTTGCCATGAAAAAAAAAGA